AGGGGAACCTTCCGTGCAATGCATAATTTGAAACCATGACGGCGTAGTGTTCTACCGACAGTGACCTTTGAAACCGTGGTCCCAGCTCTCCTCATGTCATTGACCAGCTCCTCCCTTGTAGTTCTGGGCTGATTCCTCACCTTTCTTATCATCAGTGATACCCCACGAGGTGAGATCTTGCATGGAGCCCCAGTCCCCAGCCCCAGGTGTTCAAATACTTATGTTCAGCAGTGCAAGACAAATAAATTATTTAAAAATCATACAATGTGATTTCCTGAATTTTTTTTTTAATTCTGTCTCTCAGAGTGGGAATGCACCTATAATGTGAATTTCAGACCCCTCCAAGATTTGTAAGTGGGTGTTCAAATACTTCTGTTCCTCACTGTATTGCCAACAGTTTATGCAGTGCTTTACAATATAAAGGGAGACAGTACAGTTGCAAAACAATAAAATACAAGAGGGTTAAGAGGGCCCTGCCCATAGGAGCTTACAATCTAATAGGGTGGGGCAAATGGTAAAAAGAGGTTATAACTGTGAGGGCTGAGCTGAAGAAACAATTCAGAGTTGTTAGGTGGAGGAGGGATAGGCTTCCCTGAAGACATGAGTTTTCAGGCATTGCCTAAAGGTGGCCAGAGTAGGAGTTAACTGGACAGATTGAGGTAAAGAGTTCCAGAGGATGAGAGAGACTCTGGAAAAGTCCTGGTAATGAGCAAAGAGGAAGAGACAAGTAAGCTAAAGAGCAGGAGGTCTTGGCAGAAGCAGAGAAGTCGATTTGGGTGATAATTTGAGACAAGATTTGTGATTTAGTTTGAGGCAGAGTTGTTAATGGCTTTGTATGTTGTTGCTAGTATTTTGAATTTAATTTGTTTGGCAATTGGAAACCTGTGGAGGGATTGGCAGAAAGGGGTAGCAGGCACTGAGTGGCTTGTAAGGTCGATGAGTCTGGCAGAAGCATTCATGATAGACTGAAGGGGGCATAGCCTGCATAGAGATAGATAAAAGAGTTGCAATAGTCAGGGCAAGAGATAATAGGGGAGTAAATGAGTAGCTTGGTGGTTTCATTATTTAAAAAGGTGTATTTTGGAGATGTTACAGAGGTGAAGTCTACAAGCTTTTGACAGTGATTTGGGGCCGAAAGGACAGATCAGAGTCCAGGAATACACCAAGCACCCTGGGGTGAGAGGCTGATAGTTGTATTATGGAAAAGACAGGGAGGAAGGCACAGATTGGAGGGAATATTACATGCTTGGTTTTAGAAAGATTTTGTTTATAGAAATGGTGTGACATCTATGTTGATACCAGGATGTTATCTCATGCTGGTAGGGCCCCTCCCAATGTTTTTTTTGCATTCCTTTTGTTGCATTTCATGGCACCTTCCATGGCTATTTTGAGATACTCCAAACTGTAAAACAATCAGAAGCTAGTGGAGGGAAAACATGCATATATACGTGCTATATACTCGTAAATGTCACAATGACGTATACTTACCTTGCCTTGATCCTGTGAAGCTCAATGGAAGCTGAAGCTCATCTACTTTTCATAATTCTGTATAGTAGATACAAACGTCCTTAAAGTGACAAAAAAACTTTTGTAGTACGTATTCTTAACTCAAAAAAGTCCCTTCCATTGCTCTCAGCCTTTGTGTGTCTTAAACAAACATAAGTGAGTGGGAAAAGGAGAGGGTTGGGGTCTCACAGAGGATGTTATAGGGTGGCAAAAAAATACAGTAAGAAAACGTTTCATGAAAAATACTGTGTATAGATTATTCATGGAAAATAGGGATCTTGTTTAACCACTTGCCTACCGGGCACTTATACCCCCTTCCTGCCCAGGCCAGTTTTCAGCGCTGTCGCACTTTGAATGACAATTGCGCAGTCATGCAATACTGTACCCATATGAAATTGTTATCATTTTTTTGAGACGGATAGAGTTTTCTTTTGGTGGTATTTAATCACCTCTGGGTTTTTCTTTTTTGTTAAACAAACCAAAAACTACTGAAAATTTTGAGAAAAAAAAAGTTTTTTCTTAGTTTTTGTTATAGTATTTTGTAAATAAGTGATTTTTCTCCTTCACTGATGTGCGCTAATAGCTGCAGTGATGGGCACTGATAGGCTGCAGTGATGGGCACTGATAAGGAAGCACTGATAGGCATCACTGACTGGTACTGCTAGGTGGCACTGATAGGCAGGACTGAAAGGCAGCTCAGATAGGCACTGATATGTGGCATTGATGTGCAATGACAGCTGGCACTGACAGGTGGCAATACTGGGGCTACACTGATCATCAGGGCACACTGATCATCAGTGCCATGATGATCACTGTAGATGTCCCTTCTGAGGAATGCTGATTACCGGCTCTCCTCTCCTCTTGAGCTGTCAGCGTGACAGCTTGTGAGGAGAGAAATGCTGATAACCGGCATTTCCCTATTTACATGTGATCAGCTGTGATTGGACACAGCTGATCACATGAACGAGCTGACATCTCTATTTATTTATTTCAGGTACTTATATAGTGCTGTCAATTTACACAGCGCTTTACACATTTATATTAAACATTCACATCAGTCCCTAACCCTCAAGGGGTGTACAATCTAAGGTCCCTAACGTACATTCATACATACACATATTAGGGCCAATTTAGACAGGAACCAATTAACCTACCAGAATGTCTTTGGAGTGTGGGAGGAAACCGGAGTACCCGGAGGAATCCCACGCAAGCACAGGGAGAACATGCAAACTCCATGCAAAAGGTGCCATAGTCAGGAATCGAACCCATGACCCATTTACTGCAAGGCAGACGTGCTAACCACTAAGTCACTGTGCCGCCCCATCTTTGGATCTTTCTGTTGATCTCGGACACAGCGCACCACCGATCACCACGCTGCGCGCTGAGTGGTTAAGAGTGGGAGGATGTCATATGACGTCCTCCCAGAACGAGAGAACCGCCTTGCGCCCGTCATTACCTTATATGGTGGGCGGGAGGTGGTTAATGTCAAATTAAGCTAGCCATACACTGGTAGAATTTAATTCAAAAATGATTTTTCAAAACATTTGTTCCATTTTCTAATGGTTAATGTGGTCAAATCCACAACTGTTTCTGACCTCCATGATGAGGAAAATTGAAGGAATTTTTTCTTGTTTATTCCCCAATCAAATAAAATTGTAACCATGAATGTGTATATTCAGAGGCAGCGCTTAGTCATCTATGAATGGAGAAAACTATCTGCACCCATACAGCCATGTGAATGTAGCCTTAGGCCCTTTTCACACAGGAGTTCTGATCAGGTTCAACTGTCAGTTCTTCAGGTGGACCTGATCAGATAGTCCATGTCTTTCTAAGGACTGGCCTACCTCCAATCCGATCCGGTCCGCTAAAAAAAAAGCAAATAGAATCGGAGGGCAGTCCGTCCAATTACACCCGGCCGCCCATAGAGCAGAGTGGGCTCTGACTGTGTCCACTCTGCATAAACTGAGCAGACACAGAGCTGTCATGCACCCACTCTGCTCAGCAGGCGTTCAGTGGACAGCTCCCCTGCTGAGCAAATAGGATTCCACTCCCTGTGAAAGGGGCCTAAGTGTTCTGTGCATTTGACTTTTTTTTTACTTTTCTGTGTATTTGAAAATTATTTCTATAGTTACTTTTTACTTTAAAAAAAAAATGTAAAATAATGAGGCTAATGAAGAGCTGTTCACAAGAACAAGTTCGGGATAGCTGAAAGAAGTCATTTGAAACTCATTACACCGACTTTTATTTCTCCCCTGACTGCAAATACGTTTCGCTGAAAGAATGAAACTTTGCTGTCATCTGAATGTTTTCACACTTGTAGGGGAAATTTGAAACTCTTGATTTTGTTCACCCTTATCAATGTTTTGCACCACTTTTAAACACCTTATAAATAACGAGTAATAATAATCAAGAGGTAATTGGTTCCAAATGAGGGATGTCCCTGCAAAGTCAGAAGAGTTGGGTGTTAGCCGCTGTACTCGTTCCTCTTTGCTCGGATTAATCCTTCGTCATAAAGTCAAAGCTCGATTCCAATTTATTAGGATGTGCAGTCTGCTTCCCTCTGCTGGCTCTGTAGCATCATTGCTCCTTCTGTCCCCATGTCTCCCACACAGCAGGGAAGGGGTTATTTTTCCTTGGGCAGAGAATCAGCTAAGTCCAAGCCTTTGATTGTCCCCTTTAAGCCCATCTCAGGTTTCTCAGGGAACTTCCTGAGTGACAGATGACATCACTGGAGGTGTGACTGACTGATGATGTGGAGCTGGCTTTGCTGGCCAAGCAAAGAGAGGAATTTCTGTAGCACAAGGCTATGAGTGTTCTCCTCTGTACTAAGTTCAGGTCAGGAAGGGGATGTCTGTGGCAGAGATACAGGCAAAGTACAAGACAAGGCAAAGTGCTGTGACAAGAAGGATACACACAGAAATCAGGGGACTTCACAAGCATGCAGAGAGGCTGTGCGTAGCAGGCTGCCTGAGGGGTGTGGAGAGCTGAATTTGAATTGCATCTGCGACAGGCTGAAAGTAAAACGATGCCCGCATGGAAATCACACAACCACGTCTTCTCCTCTTGCTGTCCATGAATAAGGAAGCTGACTGCTCTCAATGTCTTGAGGTCGATCGCTTTATTGTCCGCTCTGCTGGTGAGTTCCAGATCCCAAGGAAATTTTGAGGCAATACAGGGATATAATGCACCTCCAAGACAGGCGGCACCATAGAGTGACTTATAATAAGTGTCAGATCTTGCATGCTGATTAGACTTGTTGAACCGATTTACATTCCAATTGCTTTTGTCTATTTTTTAAACTTCTTCTTAAACCTGCTAGAAAAAAAGGAAAGAAATGGACATTAGTGACTTTTTTTTTTTTTGCATTGCTGAAAACAGATGTGTACGGCATTTATGGCCAGTGCTTTCCGCTGTACCTGGGCATCGACGGTACACCTAAAGCATCTCATTTTTAGGCAAGAAATGTTTGCTCATGTTGCATCATTCAAGCAAGGATGAAAGGAGAAAATTTCATGTTTTTCCCTAAATTACGAGGATGGAGACCTTGCTGGAGGGGACGCTGGAGGGCTCTTAAGTCACAGATTCTTGCAGCCAGTTTGACCTGCATGGTACTTTTTGTATATGCGTGTACACAGGATTTATTGCAAGGTCCTCTGCATTTTTCCTTGCTGTGGGGAACTTCTCCACCAACGCAGGTGACTCTCCTAATCTGGTATGAGCCGTTTGGCAAATTGAGACGACTTGGAGACTGCCGTGTCCTTTTCAACATCACCGGTTGTCATCTAACCACCAACAGGAGCCTTGTACAAGAGGCTGACACCGTCTTGTTCCATCACCGGGACATTGGAGACTTTGGAGACTTTCCTTTCGAAAAACGGTTACCTTCCCAGAAATGGATCTGGATGAACTTTGAATCTCCATCACATTCCCCTTGGCTGTCCTCTCTTGGGGGAGTATTCAACTGGACCATGTCCTACAGGGTAGACTCAGATATATTTGTGCCATATGGCTATTTATTTTCCAGAAAACGCTCAAAAATAATACTTCCACGCAAGAAAAAGTTGGTGGCATGGGTTATAAGCAACTGGAATGAGGACCACGAACGAGTTCAGTATTACAACCAACTGAGGGAGTACATAGATATAGATATTTATGGGCGGTATGGGATGGATTTGAAACAGGATAACATTGTAAAAACAGTGTCGGAATATAAATTTTACCTCGCCTTCGAGAATTCACTGCACACAGATTATATCACAGAAAAACTATGGCGGAACGCCTTCAAGTCTAGCGCAGTAGTCCCTATTGTCATGGGCCCTAGTCGGTACAACTATGAGATGTTCCTCCCACGGAACTCCTTCATCCATGTGGATGACTTCTCAAATCCCCGAAAACTTGCCATGTACTTGAAATTTTTGGATAAAAACATGCACATGTACCGGAGGTATTTCACATGGAGGAAAAGGTACGATGTTCATGTGACCTCATTTTGGGACGAACATTATTGCACAGCCTGCGAAACTGTGAAGGCAGCTGGAAGTCAGCATCGAACGATCACAGATCTTGCAGGATGGTTTGAAAGTTGACAATACTGTCTTGTTCTGAGTAATGAGAAAACGTAAGCTGTGCTATTGCATAGGCTCCATTGTTTCATAAAAATTGCTGATATCAGATTTAAAGCTTTGTTCCACTGCATGAGAGAACATAGTCTCAAGCACAGACCAAACTACAAACACGATACAGTTCCCTAGACAAACACATTTTTTGGCATGTTTTGCACAGTGGACCCATCATGCTTGAATAACAACTCAGATGTTTTCATTTTGTTTTTTGGGGGTGAGGGGATCTTTCTTTTAATGCTAATTGTTAAAGTAATTTAATGTCTTCAGGGTCAGTAATGAATTTTTTTCTATTTATACATTTCTGATTTATAATGGATGTGTTTTTAACTTAAGATTTTCAAAAGTAAGTTATTTTGTGGCTAAATTATTATATTTTTTTTAATGTATGAATGAATATGCCAAAAAAGAAAATATGACTGTTAATGTTTGTGACATTGTAACAAATTACTTGAAAGCTTTAAAGGACCACTATGCATAAATGAGATCATTTTCACAACTCATTTTTATGTAAAAGAGATTTTAATGGGAGTCGTCAGCACATATGCTGAAGTTTCACAAGAGAATGATTTTTCAAATATAATGGGGGTGGGAGGGGATAGAGATTTGCAAGACAATCTATAGTAATAGTCTACAGCAGCCTTTCTCAACCAATGTCTTCGGGAACCCTTGCTAAATTATTTCATCTTTCGTCACAGCACATTTATGTGGTCAGTAATCCATAAATATAATACATAAAAGTGTAACAAATTTAGTGTATATATAGCATATTTGACAATCAGAATAGTTTTTAACGCTCCTCTGCTCTAAGAAAAAAATTCAGTAACAATCATGAAATGGAACAAATAACAGTAATGGCCAGAAAAAGAAACACCAACAGTAAAAATTGTAGTGCCCATGACACTGGTGGTCAGTTGAAATGTTCCTTCTTATATTGGTAGTCACTGTAGTGGTCCTAAACCTTGGTGGCCAATGAGAGAAGGACTCCTCATAGTAGTGGTCAGTGGGGGAAGGACACTTTTACATTATTGACCAGGAAGAAAACTGCCCCTTTACACACAGCTAAGAAGATAATGGATATCAGAGATTAGTGGAAGTTAGACATTCTATATTGCTTAGGAATCTCTAGCAACCTCTGGAGGAACCGTGGTTGAGAAACCTTTGTCTATAGAATAATGATATATAAATGGCAAATGTCTCAATTTCTATACAGGTGTATCTACATACAGCTGTGAATTCTATGAGTAGTAAGTAATATGATGTATTATTTTGTTTGCATTCACCATAGTGGTCCTTTACAGAATTTGCCTGCTCATTCTCATTCAGTTTTGAGTGGACTGCAGATAGTCCAATCACCTTAACACTCTTTAAATTCTTTATGATGCTCACCCATACCAAAGATAGGATGGACATCACTTGGTCCATGTTGGGTTGTCCATATCACTATCAAGAGCTGGGATCATGGATGTAGACCTTCCATTTGGACCTTTGAGACCTTAAGTCTCACACCTTTTACACAGCATTTTGCGTTTTACATAAACACACAGCAGTCCATTTAACGTTTTCCTATAGGACACATTCGCATCTCTGTGTTTTCACCCGATGCATTTTTTGCAAAAAGTTGCATTTTTGGTTCTATAGACTTCAATGGAGATGCTGCAGAAAAGCATGTAGTGCATTTTTATGTGTTTTTGATGCGTTTTGCATGTTAATCTGTCTAGCAATATGGAAAAAAAACCCTGCAAAACTCATCAATAAGGCATTAAAAATGCATGTGCAAAAACGCAAAACGCAAAATGGATCAAACCAGCCAGAAGGCTGATCAAAACAAACAAAAAAAAACAACAGATCCCTTCATCCACACAAGTGAGGTGGAGAGAAGAGTCCTCCCCTCTGAAGTGGGACTCTTACGCTGTCAGGATACACTGATCAGCGGCAGCAGCTGATCGACAAAAGTTTTCCCTTTCGCTTTCTGTCAAAAGACGATGATCATGCATGGAAAGTCGCCTAGTCCCTGCTGAACTAGCCAAGTTTCCATCCAGCTTTAGGACAACATAACAGGATTATATGGCTATATAACACCACCCTTTCATCTCCATAACAGGGGGAGTAGTTTTGTAGTTCTCAGAAATAGCATGGAGCAATGCTAACTGATAACTGTCCAAAAGCAGAGAGTACCGAAAGCTGTTAGCTCACAAGATTGCTGTCTGGATGAACAACTTTTTCTTCTCACTCGTTGAACAGATACAATAAAACACTTTTGATAGTATATCTACCAGACTGAAAGGGAGCAAATTAGATACATTTATTGTTAGAATTTATTGTCAGCATTTACACTTTACACTTAGGGCTTTGGTTAAGGGGGTACCACCAGTCCTCCTGCATGGGGCCCAAGCCAGCAGGGGGGGGTTCAAGCAGCTAGGTGAATCAGATGTGGGCAGGGAGACAGTGGGGGGAAATTACTGGAAACGATCCCCTGTATGGCTCTCTCTGCAGCAGCTGAAAGCTGGCTTCTTCTCCTCACTCTCCCACTGGCTTTCAGCTGCTGCAGAGATTCATACAGGGGACTGGTTCTGGTAATTCCCTCCCACCACACCCATCACCCTCCCTGTGCACTATACATTTCCCCCTGTAGCCCAGGCCCCCCTGTGTGCCCCCACCCCCGCAGTGCTGCTGGCTTCCATCCTCTCCTTCCCACCGGTAGCTGTATGCACACAATAGTATCATTCAGGATGGAAAGTGGGGGAAGGGTCCGGTAAATATGTCAAATTTACTTGCCCCTTCCTTTCCTGAATGAACACAGTGACTGATTGGTAGCAATCACTCACTGTGTTCATTCATAACGGAAGCACATTAAACCTGTGTTTATTTTGGTGGGGCTGTCAGGTTGGCTGTATGGGGCCCCGTGGTTTCTAACAGCAGCCCTGTTCACACTTCAACCAGTTTGTGACTGCAATATGCCTATTTAAGTCCTCATGCACTATGCCTCAGCAGCAGAACAGCAGAGAACTGTACATGTTCTTAGTTCTCCATCTGTTAAACTGGTAGCTTAGCCATAGATGTATGTTCATGTTAACCGATGTATACTGATGCTGCTAAATTTGGTCTGGCCATCTAAGCCTCAATTAACTTTTTCGCTTGTGCCTACACATACCTACTTGCTTATCAATATAATTGGCAACCTTCTTGGCAAATAGTAGTGTGTATGAATCCACTTGCTATGGGGACACTCATGGGTGCTCGTTCCTGAGCCCTGCTCTGTATGTCCTTAAGACATACAAAACGGGGCTTAGCCCCACCCCCACTTCTCGTCACTGGCTCTGGTTGACAGCCGTGGAAGCCAATGGCAGCAGTGGAAGCCTATTGCTGGCTTATTTGAGCCAATGAGGAGCAAGAGAGAAGAGAGAGCTGCGGCACTCATGCACATCGCTGGATCGGCTCAGGTGGGTATTGCGCGGGCTGCAGGGGAATCCACCTACAGACGGTATTTTGCCTTACTGCATAGAATGCGGTAAGGTAAAAAAAAACCTTCTGCCTTTACAACCACTTTAATAAAGGTGTTTTCTAACAATTTTTCCCCTTTTCTAAATGGTATTTAACAAATTTGATGGCAATTGATTCCTTTTAAATAGAGGACTGGCAAGCAGTTCTGCCTCCTGCATAGTACCCTGCAAATGCCAGCTTTAAGGTTGGGCATAGATTAATCTTTTTTTTCCGATCAGCCATCCAAAGAAGTGAGGGAAATGGAGGAATACTCCCCCTCCTGTGACGAATGGATGCAGCCTCTGACTGACAAAAGTTTTCCAACATTCTCTCATTAGATCAACTTCTGCCAAGTTGGTGTGGCCATCTATGGATTAAAAGGACAGATTTTGATCCATCTATGGCCAGCTTTAAAATGAATGGCTTAGTTCACACTTTGTGGTGAAGGTGGAGTGTTGAATGCTGCCTGCAGTGTTCAATTAGTGCCTATTGTTTTGTATTGCTTGTCTTATCAGACTGTCCTATTGGGGAGAAGCAGAAAACAAATAACAAATGCACTACATTTACTAAAGGAGCAAAGGTTGTTCACTTAGCAAAGTCAATGTTCACTTTGCAAAGTTTATATTCACTTAGTTAAGTAATTAAGGCGAGGCTGTGCTCATTTTGATAACCCAATCATGTGCATGAGAAATTAGGGAAAAAATTGATTTTTGTTTGCACCTGACTAGATGGACTAAGTGAACGCAACTTCATTTTATTCATTAAACTATGTTAACACTCACTTTACAAAACAAACATGCTTTATTCATTTAGTAAACCGACGTCATAGCATTGGACGCTCCCCTGCGTCTGATACAAGGTGAACACATCCTTATTGGTCAAAAGACAGCGTGATGATTTACAGCAGAAAATGGTGGTTGATTTACTGAAAAGGCAGTGGCTGTTCAGTTAGCAATGTGCATGTTCTATTATCTTGCTAAATATGGTGAAGCCATGTTCACCCAATCATGTGAAACAGAAATAAAAAAAAACAAGTTTTTTTGTATTCACTATGCTAAGGGAACATACATTTTACAACGTGAACATGCTCAATTCCTTTAGTAAATCTACCAACACTATATTTGAAGAGGGGCTAAAATAGATCATAGACTGGATGGAGCATACATACTGTATGCACTTTTGGTGTTTACTGCTAGCATAGACTGGCACATTTGTTAACCACTTTCCCTCCAGAGGATTTACCCCCCTTCCTGACCAGTCCATTTCTTGCGATACGGCGATGCGTTAATTTAACTGACAATTGTGCGGTCATGCAACGCTGCACCCAAATAAAATGTACGTCCTTTTTTTCCCACAAATAGAGGTTTATTTCGGTGGTATTTGATTGCGTGTGTTTTTTTTATTTTTTGTGCTATAAACAAAAAAAGACCGACAGTTTTGAAAATAAAAACCCTATATTTTTTACTTTTTGCTATTAAACATGTCCAGCAAAAAAATTAACAAAAATCTAATTTCTTCATAAATTTCGGCCAAAATGTATTCTGTGACATGTCTTTGCTAAAAAAAAATCCCAATATGTGTAAATTAATTGGTTTACGTGAAAGTTATAATATTTACAAATGGTGGTATATATAGTGGAATTTGTTTACTAATAATGGTGGCGCTCAGCGTCTTATAGCGGGACTTCGGTGGGCATTCTGACACTGGAGGAACTGACTTGGTGTTACAGAAATCCCCATGACATCAATAGAGTGATCAGTGCTAATAAAAAGCACTAACACTATACTAATGGCACTGAGCAGGAAGGGGTTACCATGTACTTGTGTGTGCTTTCCACTGTAAGCACACTGCTTTGTATGGCTCTGCTATGTTGAGCCATACAAAGCAGTGTGCAGGAGCTGAAAGGGGAGACATCTGTATTGTTTTCCTACAGGTCTCTCCCCATCCGTAATACTTGGAGATCGCCGGGTGCCGGCGGGGAATCACCGGCTGGGACCCGGCGATTGACAGCCAAGGCCGTGAATGGAAACTGCAAAATCACGTATATATACCGTATTTGCCGGCGTATAAGACGACTGGGCGTATAAGACGACCCCCCTACTTTTCCTGCTAAAATGTAGTGTTTGGGCTATACTCGCCGTATAAGACTACCCCTCTTCCAATGCACACCAGTGGGAGGAATAGTGCCCCATCATTGGTATCAGTGGGGAGGAATAGTGCCCCATCATTGGTGTCAGTGGGAGGAATAGTGCCCCATCATTGGTATCAGTGGGAGGAATAGTGCCCCATCATTGGTGTCAGTGGGAGGAATAGTGCCCCATCATTGGTGTCAGTGGAAGGAATAGTGCCCCATCATTGGTGTCAGTGGGAGGAATAGTGCCCCATCATTGATGTCAGTGGGAGGAATAGTGCCCCATCATTGGTGTCAGTGGGAGGAATAGTGCCCCATCATTGGTATCAGTGGGGGGAATAGGTGCCCCATCATTGGTATCAGTGGCAGGAATGGTGCCCCATCATTGGTATCAGTGGCAGGAATAGTGCCCCATCATTGGTGTCAGTGGGAGGAATGGTGTCCCATCATTGGTGTCAGTGAGGGGTGGAATAGTGCCCCATCATTGGTGTCAGTGGGGGGTGGAATAGTGCCCCATCGTTGGTGTCAGTGGGGGGGGGGGGGAATAGTGCCCCATCGTTGGTGTCAGTGGGAGGAATAGTGCCCCATCGTTGGTATCAGTGGGAGGAATAGTGCCCCATCATTGGTATCAGTGACACCAATGATGGGGCACTATTCCTCCCACTGAGACTTGCTGACCCTGTTCTCGTATGGTGCTGCTGCAGCCAGCATATGTGGTTGCAGCAGCACCTCTACACAGAACACTTACCTGCTGCTCCGGCACTCAATTTTCGCGGGGCCGCTCGGCTCCGCCCCCTCGCCGGTGATTGGCCGCCTGTGTGCCTTTCCTGAGCTACAGTTCTGGCGGCCAATCACCGGTGAGGAGGCGGAGCCGAGCAGCCGCACGAACATCCAGTGGCCGAACTGAAGGAGACGCCGCGCTTCCTGGACCGGATCGTCGTGGGACTGGATCCAGGTAAGAGACATCAGCCCCTGCAAACCCCTGTACTTAATGCCGCAGCCCCCCTAACATGTGTACCGGCGTATAAGACGACCCCCGACTTTTGAGAAGATTTTCAAGGGTCAAAAAGTCGTCTTATACGCCGGCAAATACGGTACACCTGATTTTGCACAACTGTGCCGCCCGTTATCAGTATTTCTGCTATAGGGCGGCGCGGAAGCTGTTAAAGTGGTAGTAAACCGCAAAAATGAACACAAAAAATTCTTCTCCCTGCAAGTTAGGATTATAATGTGCTAGTGTGCATCGCATACTAGCACATTATGAAAGACTTGCTTGAAAATTAAACCCTTCAGTGGTGTGCTCTCACCACTGACAGGGCTTCCATCTTCTCCTAGCCTTCCTTCTTCCTTCACGGGCTGCGGCCGTTTGACTGGCTGAGCCATGATGATGTTACTCCCACGTGTTTGTGGAAGTCACAGCCACGGCACAGCTCTTTCATCACAGGGAAACTGATCATTTACAAAAACGAAAAACAACTACTGGCAAATCAGATTACATTTATGGCCTTATTTACTAAAGTAATGTGAAGTGCATGTTGTCAGCATTTCACAGATAATTCCATTTAGTAGATAGCGTTGGAGGGCAGTTCACACTGCAATGAGTAAAACTTGAATCTGCTCTGTAGAAGCACAACGGTCGGTTTGTGAAAAGTCTGATGATATAAATCAGGATAGTACCGTCATCGATTGTATTTCCAATTCTGTTTAATTATTACTACAAGTGCTCTTTGTACAGTCATAATGGTGTTAAGATTGTGTCTCAGAAGTCCATATTCTGTTAACTTCTGGGGCAGAAGACAGCAAATCTAGAGAATTGTTTGGGAGTTCCAATGAGGCCGCACATGCATAGATGTCAAATTAAAAAAAAAAAAGTTTTTTGTATTCACTATGCTAAGGGAACATACATTTTACAACGTGAACATGCTCAATTCCTTTAGTAAATCTACCACACTATATTTGAAGAGGGGCTAAAATAGATCATAGACTGGATGGAGCATACATACTGTATGCACTTTTGGTGTTTACTTCTAGCATAGACTGGCACGTTTGTTAACCACTTTCCCTCCAGAGGATTTACCCCCCTTCCTGACCAGTCCATTTCTTGGGATACAGCGATGCATTACTTTAACTGACAATTGCGCGGTCATGCAACGCTGCACCCAAATAAAATTTACGTCCTTTTTTCGTTCTTTTTTTCGGTGGTATTTGATCGCCTGTGTGATTTTTATTTTTTACGCTATAAACAAATAAATACTGACAATTTTGAAAAAAAAAACCCTATATTTGTGACTTTCTGCTATTAACCTCCCTGGCGGTATGATTATTTCAGATTTTTGGTGCTGAAAGCGGTACCATTTTTTTGCATGGAAATATGTATTTTTTTTATTGTAGGCTGTAATTTTTAGGAAAAACACACTGAAATCTGTCCGAACAAGAGTCTAGTAAACATCCCGGGTATGATAAAATTTGAAACACAAAATCATAAATTATAATTTAATAAATAATCATAAAAATAATATAAAAAAATAAAAAAATTTAATTCAATAATGTAATCAAACCAAAAACACTGAAATGTGAAATAGAGCGCCAAGTTCGCACATTGCTGAGCTCAGTCACAAAATCGTTTTCAGTTTCTGATGACGAATTTCCCCCACGAATCATTATCACTCAATTCTGCAAGTGGTTCTGATTTACTATCGCTGTTCTCTAGCTGATCTAAACCGCTTTTGACCTAAAGGGACACTTTTTGGACGCCATGGACATTTCTCAGTTTCCAGACAGAAAGAACAGACAAAATGCAGGCAGGGCGCAGGAAAAAGCACTAGGGACAATATGTATGTGAAATAGGTTGAAACAGCAATGTTTTACTGTGTAAAATGTAAAAAAAAAAAAAATGACATTTTTTAAAATTTTTAAATTTCCCGCCGGCGGCGGCGGCGGCGGGCGCCCGTACGTCCCGACGTCACAGGGACAGGACACAGAAGCCGGATGCCGGCATCGGCCGGAGGAGATGGCCGGGGACGCTGCAGGGGACACATCGTGGGAGCGCAGGGTAAGGTAAGTGAAGAACACTTGCCGGAGCAGCGCCGCATGGTAAGCCCGAGTGTAGCTCGGGGTTACCGCTTTTGGTACTGAAATGTTACCCCGAGCTACACTCGGGAATACCGTCAGGGAGGTTAAACATGTCCAATAAAAAAAGAAAACATTTCTAAATTTGTCATAAATTTAGGCCAAAATGTATCACAAAAATCCCAATACGTGTAAATTAATTGGTTTATGTGAAAGTTATAACATTTACAAATGGTGGCTTATATAGTGGAATTTTTTTACTAGTAATGGTGGCGATCACCGACTTATAGCAGGACTGCAGTGGGGGAACTGACTTGGTGTCACTGAATTCCCCAGTGACACCAATACAGTGATCAGTGCTAATAAAAATGGCACTGGGCAGGAAAAGGTTAACATCTGGGGCGATCAAAGGGTTAACTGTGTGCTGTTTTACTATGTGGCCTGTGTGTGCTTTCCACTGTAAGCACACTGCTTTGTATGGCTCTGCTATGCTTAGCCATACAAAACAGTGTGCAGGAGCTGACAGGGGAGACATCTGTATTGTTTACCTACAGGTCTCTCCCCCGTCTGTAATACTTGGAGATCGCCAGGTGCCGGCGGGGAATCACCGACTGGGACCTGGCAATTGACAGCAAAGGCCGTGAATGGAAACTGCAAAATCACGTATATATACATGATTTTGCACACCTGTGCTGCCCGGTAGCAGTATTTCTGCTATCGTGTGTGTGGCAGTCACAGCCACGGCACAGCTGTTTTATCACAGGGAAACTGATAACTTACAAAAACTAAAAACAACTAAATCACATTACATTTATGGCCTTATTTACTAAAGTAATGTGAAGTGCACGTTGTAAGCAGGGGCGGACTGACAACTCATTGTGCCCCCGGGCAATAGGGGATCATGGGACTCCTGTGTCCTTGCCCAAACTCAAAAAAGCCTATGAAAAAGGTACCAGGGGCATCTCATGGGGCCCCCTACTGACCCCGGGCCCTTGGGCAGTGCCTGAGTTTCCAAATGGTCAGTCCGGCCCTGGTTGTCAGCATTTCACACATAATTCTATTTAGTAGATGGTGTTGGAGGGCAGATCACACTGCAATGAGTAAAACTTTAATCTGCTCTGTAGAAGCACAAGGGTCGGTTTGTGAAAAGTCTGATGATATAAATCAGGATATTACCGTCATCGACTCTGTAAATAAATTGTATTTCCTATTCTGTTTAATTATTACTACAAGTGCTCTTTGTACAGTCATAATGGTGTTAACCTCCCTGGCGGTCTGATTATGTCCGTATTTCTGTGCTCAAAGCGGTACATTTTTTTGCATGGAAATATGTATTTTTTTTTATTGGAGGCCTGTAATTTTTAGGAATAACTCACTGAAATCTGTCCGAACAAGAGTCTAGTAAACATCCCGGGTATGTTAAAATTTGAAACACGAAATCATAAATTATAATTTAATAAATAATCATAACAAATAATAATATAATAATAATAAATTTAATTCAATAATATATTCAAACCAAAAACACTGAAATTTGAAATATAGCGCCAAGTTCGCACATCGCTGAGCAAAGTCGCAAAATCGTTTTCAGTGTCTGATGAGGAATTTCCCCACAAATCATTATCACTCAATTCTGCAAGTAGTTCTAATTTACTATCGCTGTTCTCTAGCTGGTCTAAAACCGCTTTTGACCTAAAGGGACGCTTTTTGGATGCCATGGACTTTTCTCAGTTTCCAGGCAGAAAGAACAGTAAAAATGCAGGCAGAGCGCAGGACAAAGCACTCGGGACAAAATGTATGTGAAATGGTTTGATTCAGTAATGTTTTACTATGTGATTTTAGTGTATTTAGTGAATGTCAGAATATGTCATTTTCAAATTTCCCACCGTTCCGTCCCCTGTACGTCCCGTCGCTCGCAAGGGACAGAACCCAGATGATAGACGCCGGCATCCGCCGGAGGACATTGCCGGGGACACTGCAGGAGGGACATCGCGGGAACGCAGAACAAGGTAAGTAACCGAGGGATCCCGGAGCAGCGCCGCATGGTAAGCCCGAGTGTAGCTGGGGGTTACCGCTTTTGGTACTGAAACTTTACTCGGGAATACCGCCAGGGGGGTTACGATTATATCTCAAAAGTCCATATTCTGTTTCCTTCTGGGGCAGAAGACAGCAAATCTAGAGAAATGTTTGGGAGTTGCAATGAGGCCGCACATGCATAGATGTCAAATTGGGAGCAGTGGCTGTGTCTGTGCAGTCGCTGCATCCCAGTTGACATGAATGGGACTGCCTGCACATCCCCAAGTGGGTAAACCCGGCCCTTCGCACAGGCATATGCTGTAGTACATGCATGTGAACAAAGCCAAAAAAAATCACAGCATGTTCATAGTTGCCAACATTTGAAAAAAGTTTTTAGGGACACTTTTTTCTGTGTGGTGAAAAAGTCTCTGTTGGTGGGGCATTACTTTAATTGGGGGCGAGACATTCATATATAATGGGTGTGGTAGGAGTAATCATGCAAAGCACACTGCAGGGAAAAGTGGAGGTAGTTAATTATATGTTAAATATTGGGCATGGCCTAAAAAGGGTGTGGTTAGAGTTTGAGATTACTTACTGTACACAATTCAGAATGTGGTCATGTTAAATAGGGAATGTACAATGCAGAACAAGGGAGGATGGAGATGACTGTGTGTGTGCGTGCAGGATGAATATGACTCTGTGTTTGTGTATATATATATATGCAGGATGGATATGACTGTATGTGTGTGCATGCATGATGGAGATGACTGTGTGCATGTAGCATGGAGATGACTGTGTGTGTGTGCAGGATGGATATGACTGTGTGTGTATATATGCAGGATGGATATGGATGTATGTGTGCATGCATGCATGTGGACATGCAGACAGAGATGACTGTGTGTGCATGTAGGATGGAGATGACTGTGTGTGTGCACAGGATGGATATGACTGTGTGCGTGTGTATATATGCAGGATGGATATGACTGTATGTGAGTGCATGCAGGATGGAGATGTGTGTATGCATGCAGGATGGAGATGACTGTGTGTTTATGCAGGATAGAGATGACTGTGTGTGCATGCAGGGTGGAGATGACTGTGTGTGTGCATGCAGGATGGAGATGACTGTGTGTGTGTGCATGCAGGATAGAGATGGCTCTGTGCATGCTGGATGTATATGTCTTTGTGTGCATGCAGGATGGATATGACTGTGTGTGCATGCAGGATGGAGATGACTGTGTATGTGCATGCAGGATGGATATGACTTATGTGTGTGTACATGCAGGATGGAAATGACTGTGTGTGCTTGCAGGATGGATATGACTGTGTGTGCATGCAGGATGGAGATGACTGTGTATGTGCATGCAGGGTGGATATGACTTGTGTGTGTGTGTGTACATGCAGGATGGAAATGACTGTGAGTGCTTGCAGGATGGATATGACTGACAGCCATCCCAACCAGATAGAGATCATAAATGTCTGCTGCTGCTTGAAAAAGAGAGAGAGGTCAGCCAGCATGATCTTCCCCCAGAGATGGAGATGCAGAGAGCCCAAATTGCAGCATGGAACATACCTCTGCTTGGGTCCATTCCAGCCTCATGTGTTGCAGCTCAAGGCTCAAGGTGGGCTGGCATATTCATCTTCACCCCTCTGAGGCTGGGCACACCCCCTCTCCGAGTATTGCCCAATCACTGAGAGGCAAGCCCCATCTGACATCCTGCTCATTGGTGAGTCCTGAATACTGGAGCTGCCTGAGTGGAGGAGATAGGGCTGGGGGAGGGATCCAATCTGTGTCCCCAGTAGTGTGTGCTGCTTCATTTTCTCTATGTGCAATCAGCCACACAGCTGTCAGTGACAAATGGGGATTTTCGGGACTCTGCCCGGGACAAGAACATTTCGTGACAGCTGTTAAGAATTCGCGCTGGACATTTTGACTGTTGGCAACTATGCCTGTTATTGAAGGGAAAGTGAATTTTTAGCAATCATGTTGTGGTTTACTTGTTTTACTGCAGTGTTTACCTCAAAGTACTTTATTTTTTATTTTGGATAGAGAAAGTGAGCTTTTCCCATTGGGGAGATTTCCCTTCACTTCCTGTTCCACATTCAAAAGTGAAAGAAAATGCCTCCAAATTGAGGGAATCCCAGGTTGGCACCAGAACTAGTGTCCCTATTGGAATATTTCCCCTCTGTTCTGGTGACTACTGAAATTTCAGATTTTTCTTTCACTTTCACGCTCAGTGATAATAGTAACAAGACAAATGCAAAGGGTGTACAGACAGCAATAAAACCTGGAAGACGTTCTATCCCTCTCCACTCTATCTAAAATGAAAAAAAAAAAGCCTTTACTTATACTTAAAGTAGAATTGCATTGCATCTGAGCACCACAAACCAAAAATGCTATATAATTAATTTTTAATAATCAAAGCAAACTCCTCTATCCATCCATGTCTCCATGCTTTATTTTCTGAGAAATTATTTTGAAAAACCTTCTGGCATTTCTGGCAGTGGCCATTTTGAGCAAGGGCAGATGATTCACATAGCATTTACTTCCTGGAATCCATCTGCCCTTAGCTCAGACATGAAATGAGCTGAGAACCCTTCCTTCCCTCCTGAAGACTCCTGGGATGAATTACATCATTTGTCTAGGCACTGAAATGAGGAAGTAACTAAACAAATGCAAAAAAAAGGGATTAAAACAAGTAAATACAATCTACTTTCCTATCTATTTACTAATGTAAGTTGCATAAGGATTATGTTGCTTGGGAGAGTGAAGTTCTGCTTTAAACATAATTTGTTTTTTACATTTTTAACAGATTTCTCCTTTTTTTCTGGCCATTTCATTAAATGTAGAGATTTGTAAATTAGCCACTAGAACAGTGGTTCTCAACCTTCCTAATGCCGTGACCCTTTAATACAGTTCCTCATGTTGTGGTGACCCCCAACCATAAAATTATTTTCCCAGTAATTATAATTCATGAGTGTTGTTTTACCTCCAATGCTGCTGCTTTCAAACACAGTAGCTGCTTTTAACAGAGTAGCTGCTTTCTACACAGTAGCTGCTCTTTACACATCGGAAATATGTGTTTTCTGATGGTCTTAGGGGACCCCTGTGAAAGAATCGTTCGACCCCCAAAGGGGTCGCGACCCACAGGTTGAGAACCACTGCACTAGAAGGAGGATAGATGAACTACTATTACTGTGTATATCCAGGCTCCCCATATGAATGTGTAGTTTATAGCATATAATAGCGCACACTGATCCTATAATCCCCAGATGTTACTGCCAAGGATATGAATATACATATAGAAAATTGCCTAATTGTAATCCCTTCTGTAAGAGAGTAGAAAAAAAACCAAACCTGTTGAATTTGCCAATCCCCATATAAATGAATGGTATTTTCTCTGTACAGGGACAGAAAAAGTGGGAGGCTCTGCATATATTCATACCACAATGTAAACAAAGCTGTTACAAGAGCTTTGTAATTACAGTTCAGACCTCCTTCTCAGCATGGTGCCTGTCCAGGAATTAAGGCAGCTCTACTTCTGGTCTCTGGTCATGAGGAGGTCTCTTCTAAGCAGGAACCCCTCTCCCT